AATTAATTTGAGAAATGCACTAAAAAGGGCAAGTTACATACCCTCTGGGCTCAGAATAGCCAGAGAACAGGGAGTTTGTTGATCTAGAATATAGAAAGATTAGCAGAGTACCTACAGAAATATAGAAATAGGCTTACATGGCCAAAAATGACCAAGTTCAGAGCTAACACCAGTATTTCCAGATCTGAGCATGTTCCAGGTGTTGGAAGAGAATACAGAGGGCATAGAAGTGTAGCAGAGAAGGCCTAGAAGCCATAGCAAAAAGAATTGTAGCAGTAGCATGAGTGGTTGACTCAGAATGGAGTGAACAAGGTGCCAGCAAAGCAAGATGATGGTGGTTCAAGTTCAAAAGGGAAAGTTTACCAGAAGCTTTGAAGTACCCAGGAAGTTTAGGGCATGTCCACATTCCTTATTTGGGAACTTTTTCCCACAGTACATGAATTATAGCCCCATGTCATACATTTCTAAATGTACTGAAATCATATGACCAGGATGATTTCTTATTGAGAAAAATATATAAAAACATGAATAAATAGGTGTCTTTGCATATATCTCAGGAAAGAAAATAGCTAGTCACATTTTGTGACCACATTGAGAAATATAACAGCATGCTCTATAAAACTGTCTCTAATTTCCTTTTCAGGTCAATTTTCCCACGGTACCAGAAACACAGCCTCTCACTTAGCTTTATTAACAAGAATTGTAGCCCCTTTGCTTAGCTTTACAAATATATATAAATAATGTCACACAGATCATTCCTTATTGAGAAAAACACAAAATACTGAAAAAATTGGACACTTTTTGAAAATAGTCATATATTTTGACCAATATCTGCATAAGAAAGAAGGCTAGTCAGATGATATAATCACATTTCTGATATTTAATGTTGCTATACTATTGGAGAGGCTGTATTCAGGGTCCAGGATACACTTCCAAATATGGGAATCTGCCCAAATATAGCTAAATTATTGTGTACAAGTTTCTTCACTTTTTCCTCATTTTCCAGCTGTTTTCTCTGAGTTGTTTTTTTTTCTGTCTATATTTAGATATGGACCCTGAACACAGCCCCTTCAATATCATGACAACAGCAAATATCATTCCGATTTTTCTTCCCTTTTTTGGCATATTTTGTAATCATGTTATACAATCTATCTGGCTTTGTTCTATTTTTAGAGATGGACCCTGAACCCTGAACACAGCCCATTCATGATCATGGCAATGGTGAATACCATGCTTATTTTTCACTTATTTTGCACTGCTTCTCAACCTATCTGTTTCCATTTTTCAGACAGCTTTCTATATTTGGATATGGACCCTGAACCCTGAACACAGCCTCTCCAACTTACTAAGCAATATTCTGATTTTCTACACATTTTTGGCCAATTTATTTGCCATTTTCCCTGATTTTATGGCTGCTTCTCTCCTTAAGAGAAAAGGTTCCCGCGGTGATGAAAGGTAAATCAATGAATGAATGAATAAATGAAAAATTTGTCTAAGTCCTCAGTTGATAAAGAATGAGTCTTACTCGTAAACTCGTAAGGACTCATAACTCTCATCCGTCAAAGGTGCCAGACTTGTGTAAGAGGCCATTGCAAGCATGGCAGGAACGAGTCCTATTTTGCAAGAGTGGTAGTGACTTATTTCTGCTTTCTTTTCGCTTTTTTTCTGGATTTGTAGCTATATTTTTTACAAACTAGTATATCTTTCTATTTGAGTGTCACTCTGGGCTTCAAGCAGAGTACCTCAGTTCACAAAAACCATCACCTTGCCGTTGAAACTGGAGACAAGGGGGATTTCACCATACTGGGCACTAGTCTCCGATATTTGAAGCAATTCTATTGAAATCATGATCATGATGGGCCATTAAATTATGAACAGGACTTACTTTGATCCCAAGGAGTGATCTTCATCTTCCCCGAGTCCAACAAATTGGCGAGCAACGCCCATTGCTTGTGAGACAACTTGCCTGATATGAAATTCGGGCCCAAGGGAGTGTCAACCTGGTTCGAAGGCCACCCAGTGAGTGCGACTTTCTCCATCTCCGCATAGTTCACAAATGTTGTCAACGGCATCGTAGTTCTTGTACTCTTCGGGTGTGGAACGGCCTCGTCTAGATGTAAATAAGTAAAACGTGACGATAGTTCATGTCTGCGACGTACGCCATTTGCTCCTAAATATCTGCTTGAAGTCTTTCTGGCTTTCCTTCGAGGGTGCAAACCTTTCGGAAAGCGAACTGGTGGCCAAAGTCTTTCTGCTGCTCTTGCTTGGAACAGGTACGTCTTTGCTTCTTTCGAGGTTGTTGTCAATCTGTAAATCTTGCCTTAATTCCTGTTGATATCGTGCCGCTCTGCCATGCCATGTTAATAGAAAAAACGCGAAAAGAGTATAACACATGACCCACTGAACAGTAGTGGCGAAGACATCAGTCCACTTCCTAATAGGATAATTTTCACGCTCGAAGACATCCTTTAAAAAGGATGAGTTGACGAAAAGGCCGTCCTTTTGATGCACGGATGGCTTGTCTCCTGAATAGACAATAAAGCCTGTGATGTCGAATTCGGGGTCAGTGCGCCGGATGATGTTTAGCTAGAAGAACACAATATGAAAACCTTTATGTGAATAAAAGAAAATAATAACTTACCAAACGCTCAATCATCGTGTGCCAGCGTTCAAAGCGAACCTCCGGTGCAACGATAGACGATCCACCATCCACGATTTCGTCTTGAAGCTGCTCGTAAATGTCTTGCATGCGTTCTTCCCTTTCCTCGCTGGTGGTAGTGCCCTGCATGTAGTCAGTATAACATTGGTCCATGAACTTGGCCTTTTCTTCCTTGGTCACTGCCCAGAATGCTGTTAGAACTATGTTTGTCAATTGGAAAAAACAGTGCCACTTACTTCCCTGCATGTCATCCTTGCGCATCCGGCTTATATACGATCGGAACTTGTTTGCCCTGTTGGGCCCTCGTTTCTCCTTCAAGAGAAGGTCAGCGCGCTCCAAGACAAAGTCCGGTCGCCGTCCATATTGTGCACCCAACTCAGCCGCCATGCGGCAGACATACTCGCCAAACAACAAGTAGCACAATTGCTCAAAATTGGTGACCTTTTTCGTCGACAAGGCCTCAAGAACCGCATTCTCCACTTGTGGGTGTGGGCCAGTGCTTTGCATGGCATGTATGAGTCCTTTCTGTGGACTCTAAATTTAATATTAGGAAATTGGTCATGTAATCACTTTATGATTTTCTGAGTTTTGTTCTATATTTGCAAATAGACCCTGAGCTCTGAGCCTAGCCATCAATATCATAGCAACAATGTGTGCTATTCTTTTTTTTTTTTTTTTCATTTTATAGCAAATTTTCCCAATTTTATAACTATTTTTCTGTTTATGGTAAAATATTCCCACAGTCCTGTTTGCATATATCTCAGGAAAGAGGATGGTTAGTTATATTTTGTGACCTATAATAGCATGCTCTATATATTTGTGATGAATTTCCTTTTTTGGGTTAAAATTCCCACGGTATCAGAAGCACAGCCTCTCACTTAGCTCCATAAACAACAATTGTAGCCCCTTTCCTTACCTTTATAGATATATATAAATAATGTCATGCAGACCATTCCTCATTGAGAAAAACACAAAATACTGAAAAAATTGGACACTTTTTGGAAATTGTCATGCATTTTTGACCAATATCTCAAAGAGCAAGAAAGCTGGTCTCAAGATATAGCCACATTGCATGATATGACAATATTTTTACATAGTTGTCTTGATTTCCATATTTGGATATGGACCCTGAATACTGGACACAGCCCCTTCAACACCATGGCAACAGAGAAGATCACTCTTAATTTTGGGGTATTTTTTTCAGATTTTCTGGCAACTTTTAGGTGGTTTCTATATTTAGATATTGACCCTGAACCCTGAACAAAGCCTCCCCACCTTACTAAGCAATATTCTGATTTTTACATATTTTTTGCTGATTTCTTTTACCATTTTTCCTGATTTTATGGCTGCTTTTCTGTTTAAGGGAAAAGGTTCCCGCGGTGATGAAAGGTAAATGAATCAATGAATGAAAAATTTGCCTAAGTCCTCAGTTGATAAAGAATGAGTCTTACTCGTAAACTCGTAAGGACTCATAACTGGCAACGTCATACCCAGCTCTGCAAGGATTTCTGCAGCCGAAGTTGCAGGTGGACTCGATGACGCGGAAGAAGTGGAGTGGGCACTCCTTGCAACTGAGGCTGAACGCGAGTGTGGGTTGCTTCGTCTATCCTCCATTTCCTCCTCCATTTCGTCATCCTCATCTTCTGTATCGGTGACTTCTTCCCCTCGTTCCTTTCGCCTGGCACGATTTCACATCAACTCCTGCCGAGCGACTTCCCAATCCGAGCCACTGATGTCGCTTTCAGGCACTCCCTGCGATGCCAAGATCCGGCGGCGTCGAGCTCTCTCGTGGACGATTTTCTCCCAATTCAGGGCATCGATGTGATCGTAAGGTTCCCGAGGAGCAGTGTACCCCTCAGGAATGGGGACATACTCCTCCGAATCCTCCAAAAACACGTGGATCAAGCGATCTGCAGCGTCCTGCTCCCCGTGTTGAGGCAAAGCACCTTGATAGTGGTGGTACCCACCATCCCAAGGCTGGGTGAAACGATAGGTGACCGCCTCCGAGCAGAGAAGCGATCACATGTGGTTCTTGTCGTCCCATGAAAGGTCATCCTCCAAGGAGAGGATCTCGAAAACGTCCTCTCCAGAGTTACGAGTCTTGTCCAATGCCATCGCCGCCTCGATGAGGTATGAGTTGACGTGCAGTTCGTCTTCTTCCCTCAAAATGTTGATCACGTCAACGTAGTCCTCAGGCCAGTGGGGGGCTGAAAAGCCCTGTGGTATGGGGTGCCACTTCTTCGTCTCGTCATCGAAGTACGTCGTGAACCAGTCGGCTGCACTCTGGCAGCCTTCAGTCAGCTCGTGACCATGGTAGTAGCGAGTTGTCTTGTCAGCATAGCTGAAGCAATATGCTACATCTTTGGACTCGCATGCCTCCCTCATAGCCTGGATCTCGTCAGGGCCGAGGTCATGCATCGAGAATGACCTTGGATGAAAGTCTTCATCCCGGATGCTGGTGAGTTTCTTTCCGGTTGAAGGTATATCGTTGGGGTTGAAGCTTGAATAACTATTGGCAAATTCATTGGCGCCTTCTGGCTGGTCAGGCAGCGTGATGTCGTCATCGTCCGAACGCGTTGAGGTTAAGTCCGATAGCGTGGAGTTGCTGTTGCCCGCACTAAAACAAAAGAAACGTGAATTTCAACATGTGTGTTTGGACTCGGTTAAGAAGACGAACTTCGTGGTGATGGCAGCGGAGGCCGTAGGTTGAGCAGACGAAGATTTACGGGTAGACCCATACGTTCTGAGCACAGGGGCTGGTTTGGACTTGTGTGGAACAGGCCCAGGCCTGCAGAGTGTGGTTGTCAGACAGAGAAATAGAAGCAAAAGCAACCGACTAAAGTCTGGTTGAAGAAATTGCTGCTGGCGTAAAGTCAAGCAGCATGCGAGCGACCTAAGCCAGCTCGAAGGACGGGGGCCACTCCCTCGAGGTCGCACGGTAAAACCAGAGCAACGCAAGCGGCGAATGACACTCCATCCAAACCAGCCCACAAAAAGAAGTAAAGCTTAAAAAAGAACAGAAGCTTACCCAACAACGTCAGAGCGAACAGCATCAGAAACCAGGTTATTGACAGGTCGAACAGCCGCTTGAGTGGCAACATTCCTATTGGCAAAGCAGTAAGTACATGGGGACTGCAAGCAATGAGCAATGAACACGCAGCAACCGACTCAAGTCTGGTTGAACCAATTGTCACTGACATCAAGTCAAGCAACATGCAAGTGACCTAAGTCGCTCGATGTGGAGGGAATAAATGTGGTGGGAATGAACAATCAAATTACCTTGAAGTCTGCACTCTAGCTTCATTGGCAGCGTTTGGTCGAACAGCCACTTCATTGGCTAAAATCCTATTGGGAGATGAGTCAGCGACTGTGGGACTGCCACGGTTGAGCAAGGAACTCGTGGCAACCGACTCAAGTCTGGTTGAACCAATTGCCGCTGACATCAAGTCAAGCAGCATGCGAGCAACCTAAGTCGGCTCGATGTGGAGGGAATGAAAGGGATAATTAACTCACCCCGAAGGCTGCAGCCTAGCTTGGATGTGTACACCATCGAAGACTTGAGCATTCGAAGGGTGCCGTTGAACCTCTACGGCAGCAGAGGGGCGCCGCTGTGCCTCTTTGGGAGCAGCAACCGTCTTCTTGGGCGGCCCAGACTGCACTTGGGTTTTCCCCATGGCGGCGTCGTTGGCAGGGGCACGGATAGCTGTCTTCTTCTTAGGCGGCCCATACTTCACTTGGGTTTGCCCAACTTCTTGATTGCCGGTGTCGTTGGCCTGAGTGAAAGGTGCAACTGGCTCGGCCATTTCCTGAGTGAAAGGTGCAACTGGCTCGGCCACTTGAAAGCCGGAGGCAGAAGATGCATGGACGGAAGCGCGCTGTCCCCGTTTAAATGGTGCAAGGTCAGGGACATTCTCCTTGGTGGAAATGGTCTGTTGGCCAGGCATTAGAAACGATGCAAAAACAATCATATGGCATAACGTACCATGGAGCGAAGGCGACGGTTCATGTTGGAAAAGTAGATAGAAATGTAGGTAAGGGTGATGTGTACTAAGGTCGATGGGTGTTTCAAGAGATGTTTGTTGCTGGTGAAGAGATGTGGAAATGAGAGAGTGCTGGCAGAATATATACTCACGTGATCAACTGATGCAACACAGAAGTGGAGATGAGGCCGAGGAGGATCGCGCAAACAGATCTTCGGCGTCGAGGAATCAAGTAGGTTGCGAGACATGATTGATACCACATGCGGGGAGTTTGACTGGCGGTGGATGGTAGTACAATTGGTGGGGTATGCGGATAATGTGCATCTGGAGATCTCGGAGCTGAAGTGAGCACTGCCAAACGCCTCTGAGCCAGGGAATATCTTGCGGGTGCCATGTTTCACAAATAGATTTGGCAGGTTAGTCTGGTGTAAGCGCCGGGTGGTGAAAAAATGTTGGTGTAAACGATGGGGGAAAGCTGCTGGGGGACGCTGGTGGGTTCTAACTCGCCTGGATCCTATATTGAAAATTGTGTTTCTGGTGGACAGTTGAGTGTTGGTGAATCCGATGGGGGAATTCTGCTGGGGGACGCTGATGGGTTGCCTCGCCCCTGGATGCTACAAAACAAAAGCTATAGAACCAATATGGACGAAGCGGGGTGTTGGTGAAGATGATGGGGGAAATCTGCAGGAGACGTTGATGGGATGCATTGCGCCTGGATGCTATTTGAAAAAATTCGTAAAAACGATGGCATCCAATGCTATAAAACAAATGTGAACGAAGCGGGGTGTTGGTGAAGATGATGGGGGAAATCTGCAGGAAGACGTTGATGGGATGCATCGCGCCTGGATGCTATTGGAAAAAATTCGTCAAGATGATGGCATCGCCTCTAGGATGCTATAAAACAAATGCTATAAAACAAATGTGAACGAAGCGGGTGTTGGTGAAGATGATGGGGGAAATCTGCAGGAAGACGTTGATGGATTGCATCGCGCCTGGATGCTATTGGAAAAAATTCGTCAAGATGATGGCATCGCCTCTAGGATGCTATAAAACAAATGCTATAAAACAAATGTGAACGAAGCGGGTGTTGGTGAAGATGATGGGGGAAATCTGCAGGAAGACGTTGATGGATGCATCGCGCCTGGATGCTATTGGAAAAAATTCGTCAAGATGATGGCATCGCCTCTAGGATGCTATAAAACAAATGCTATAAAACAAATGTGAACGAAGCGGGTGTTGGTGAAGATGATGGGGGAAATCTGCAGGAAGACGTTGATGGGATGCATCGCGCCTGGATGCTATTGGAAAAAAATCGTGAAAAACGATGGCATCGCCCCTAGGATGCTATAAGACAAATGCTATAAAACAAATGTGAACGAAGCGGGGTGTTGGTGGGAACGATGGGGGAAATCTGGTGGGGGACGCTGATGGGTTGCATCACGCCTGGATGCTGTAAGAATAAAATGGTGAAAACAAAGGGGAGAATCTTCTGAGGCTGGATGCTATATAAAAAATTGTGAACAATTTGGTTTCTGGAGGACAGTCGAGTGCGTACCGATGCAATATTGCCATGATCGGTCCGGATCGACCCCCATCGACCGACAAAAATCTGGTCGACCAACCCCAGCACATCGAATCCACTGGCCGGCGGCTATTTTGGGTGGCGATTTGGCAAGAGGCTCCTGGCGTTGGGCACACGTTCCTTCGCGCCATCAGCCCAGATTGACCACTTCAACCGACTACAGTCTGGTTGAAGGGCGCTGGCCATGACCGACTATAGTCTGGTCGATGCAACCCAGCGACATAGAGTCTGCTGGCAGGCGGGCATGGTGGCGCTGCATTTGAGGTAATATTACTTTACATTGGTTATGTTTGTTCTCAGTCCTCTCAGCCAAACAACGTTGGGTTGAAACGCCTAAGTCAACAAACATCGACATCATCTCTACAAGTTCGAGTTCGAGGTGAGCTCTCCACCTAATCTCCTTGCCTCCGCCATTCGCAACCTGACTGTTTGTCGGTTGCAGCAACCTGACGTTATGTCGGTTGCTAGAACCTGACTTGATGTCGGTTCTCCCTTGGCATGGGCCCACTTCGCCGATTTGCTCACCGAATCCTTCACCCAGCCAATCGTCCGCTACCATCTGGTCCCCTAACATCATTCATCGGTAAGTTGCGTCTCCGAGTTTCTGGGGCCATGCACCCTTCCTCCATGCACCCTTCCTCGCGCCCTAGTCGCGTTTGCATTTCTTTGGCCCCCCAAGTCGCGTTTGATTGATTTGGGCATCCATTCTTCCTCGCGCACGCGACCAGACTATACGTCGGTCGCAGCAACCAGACTATACGTCCGTTGCTGCAACCAGACGGTATGTCGGTTGCTGGACGACAGCGCATCTCCTGGCGAATACTCGAGCCCGGGAATACGCACGGAGCTGCGACTGTTGTCATTTCATTTGACCCCACATCTCCTGGCGAATTGTCTGGTAGAGCGAGTTCATGTATGTATGCTTGATCCCTTAATTCCTCCATTCACAATGCTGATATCTTACACAGACGGCAGCCCAGATTGCTATGGCCGCGAACATTATGATGACAGCGACACCAAGTGGCTTTTGAATCAACGGGATTGTGGTAGGTGGCATTTGCGCTTTTGTAAGACTGTAATAACTGTTTGTTTTGGTAGAGGATATAACACCCTATGACGCCCTCGTCCTGGGCGAGCTCAACGAATCTTTCGCCCCTTCAACGAGATCGATGTCCGCCCATTCTCTTCCGGGGGGACAATTGGTGCCTAGACGAGGCGTGGTAACTTCACCCAATGTATCTTGATTACCCTACATCACCGTCGCTCCTTTGCCTGTCCGAGCCTGTGCCAACGGTCGATTCGCACATGCCGACTTCACCATTTGCCCCCAATGGTGGTTCAGCAAAATGGCCCACCTCACCTTCGTGCTCCGGCGACCACTCGAGCAGGACATCAACAAGCACCCCCTTTCCTGGCTCTGGTGGGATGTCCAACCGAGGCATTTTAACCCTGTGGAAGGCTCAGCCTTCCAAGACTTGGGAACTCTCGATGAGAAGATCACGGGCATCATGAGGTCAGAGGCCAAAAAGCTCCATTCCCAAGTAGCCGAACTCGCACGCACCAAAGACCCCAAAATCTGTGGTGGTCTCTTCTTCGTGGCCAACCGGATGCGTGACGCTTCAGGCTGCCTCTCACTCACAACATTTTACTACCAGGATCTGGTTTGGCACGTCGCCAGCTTCCAAAGGCTGTACATGGAAACTCTGGCGATGGTTGACTGGTTCAAAACCTGGGAGGCTCGCCTCCTTGAACCCAACCGACAGGTTTACCCCATTGACGAGACTGATGGGGGCCATTACTGACAGTCTCGAGACGGCAGAGACTCTTTTCCGCATTGGGGCGCCCGTTTGGCTGGTTCGTACCCCAGCCGAAATCCCTCCACTAATCAACATTTTGAATGTACGCCCCCCAACGCCAAAAAGCATTGCCACCCTCCGTGATCGCTGTCCTTCTGAGGTGGACCCTCGTGAACTCTGCCTCGATGACTATCCAGAACACCCTTTTCCCAACATCACGACGGCTTCCCCTTGAAGCACACTCTACATACAGGCATGTCAGTCGCATTTTGAAGGGTTTCTTGGGGCAGAAGACCCAAAGCTGGTTGTGACGGAGCCGCAAAGTGGCTCCTCATCCGTAGAGCCTGGGACGGGGCCCAGTCGAACAGACCGCGAAGTTCTTCGAGCATCTCCTTGTAAGTTTGTTGCTGATTTCACCTCAGTTCATGCTCACAAATTATTGCATTAGACTCAAACCCTGCTTCGTCCTCAACAAAGGCTTCAGGGAGTATGTCAGGTGGTATGTATTTGTTAATCTACTTGCTTTTCTTCTATTGATGAAAATGTCTCTAAGTCACAGCATGCGTCAATCGCGATAAGTTTCGTGAGATTGAGGAGGCCTTCATACCCCCTCAATCCCCGGTGTGGAAGAAGGCGCTGCAAAACGTGAATCCCGACCCCTCCCGCATCAAGTCCTCCAAAGATCGTGTCTGTGGTTACCAGTTTCCCGACCCCTGGCTTTTTATGAAGGGAACGAACCGCAAGGCTTTCACACTCGCTTGGCTGATTTCGCGCAGCCAGTGGCTCCAATCTTTCACGTCTGTCGATTACTCTCTGTCGCCTGCGCCACACACTCAACACTGGCGCGATTTTCTGTATCATTTCTCAAAGGAGATGAATCTTGTTCATGGTTCGCGGGCCGAGGATCTTCCAACATCGCAACAGGGTAAGAAGGGTAAAACTCCGGCAAAGGGTGGTAGAAAATCGGAAAAATCGAAGCAGAACTACGCCATCAAGCGAGGGGAGTCCCTAAAGAACGCTCAAACGACGTTTTTCGGACCCAGGGTTAAATTGGGTGAACGTCTGCATTCGATCTTCTGGCGTGATGTTTTGGTGATGGAGGGGAATACCGACAATCTGATGCTGGTGATTACAGCAGAAATCCTGTGGAACCTTTTCGAGCAAAACTTTCGTTTGGAGCTTCGTATGGTTGACCAGCAAGTTTTACCAGCAAATTGGGCCTCACAGGAATCGGCAGCTGTTCGAGATGAGTTGGTTCGGAGGACTTTCCCTGAGGACGATGATGGGTATATTGTTGGGAGATTGCCAGAGACCAATGTGGGACTTGTTGCAGAGAATTGGACACTAGTGCCTACCACTTTTATGATAAAACCTGGGCATTTGCCTGCACAGTCTTTTCAATCCCCCCAAGTGAAATATGAAATGAAATGCCTAGGCTATTTCATTCTTGCTTTGCAGCTATTTCATTCCTACCCACCACATTTTTCATTTCTCCTTGGCAATGAAATGCATTTCATTCTTTTGCCTGTGCTTTTTCATAACTTTTTCATTCTTTGCCAACTTTATTTCTTTTCTTTTCATTCTTTGCCAGTATCATTTCATTCTTTTGCCTGCGCTTTTTCATAATTTTTTTCATTCTTTGTCAGTCTTATTTCATTCATTTGCCTGTGCTTTTTCATAACTTATGTATTTGTTTGGTTATGATGGGATCAAAATATAAGACATGTGATCTTTTAGTTGCCTCAATTTACATGTTTATTGCTCAATTAAGTTAGATTATGGCCTCAAATACAAACAAATGTAAAGATCACAAGCCAGGGGTTGATTAGGTCAAACTATAGCTAATAATTTGAGAATAGATATGTTTATTATTTACAAACAAATAATGTGTCTAGTTATGAAAAGGCTTAGAGAAGCAATGAAATGAGTTTCATTTTTTTTAAGTGCAACCCTAACCTTAAACATGGCAAACAATGAAATAATAAGTTATGAAAAGGTGCAGGCAATGGAATGAAATAGGA